CACAGCAGGCCAACCAGCATCAGAGGAGCAGGAAAGCTGACGTTTCGGGTCTGGACCCTTCTTCAGAAATGAGTCCAGACCCGAAACGTCAGCTTTCTTGCTCCTCGGATGCTGCTTGGCCTGCTGTGTTCATCCAGCTCCACACCTTGTTATCATAAATAATTCACTGCTTCTTTTCCCATTTGTTTTCCACAGTTAATGTGCTGGCGATTGTTATCCTTTCCCAGGTAAAATGCGGTGTTTCCCGTTGCATTACTCGTTACCTGGTGCTTATGGCAGCTGCCGATTTGATGGTCATTATCACTGAGGGTAAGCTGTGGAGACTTCACTTTTATTATTACTCGCGGTCTTTCCTGAACATCACTCCTGTGTATAGTGTTATTGGGTCCCTGTATCGTGCAGCCAGGGACTACTCTGTCTGGTTCACTGTCACTTTCTCCTTTGACCGATTTGTGACCATTTGTTGTCAGAAGCTGAAAACAAACTATTGCACTGGGAAAACTGCGACCGTGGTTCAAGCAACAATTTGCACCCTGTTTGAAAAACATCCCATTCTATTTTCAATATGAGCTTCTGAGGATCATCAACAATGTGCCATTCTACTGTAAAACAAAGTCAAGGTATTTTACTGAGATTTGGTATGTGGCCCAATTGGTTTGATACAGTTTTAACCCCTTTACTGCCATTCGCTTTAATTCTGTTGCTCAATGCTGTGACAGTCAGACACATTTTAGTGACCAGTCAAGTCCGGAAGAGGCTGAAGGGTGAGAGCAAAGGACAGAATCACAGAGACCCAGAGATGGAGAGCAGAAGGAAGTCTGTGATTTTGCTACTCACCATCTCTGGGAGCTTCATCCTCCCGTGGTTAATCTATGTTGTACATTTCTTATTTTATGTCATACAAGGGATCCGTTCTGAGAATTACCCACCTTTTCTAGATCATTTCAGTGCAGTTGGTTACATGCTGCGGAATCTAAGTTGTTTCACAAACACATTTATTTATGCAGCAACATTGTCTAAGTTCACAGCAAAGATCAGTAACACAGTAAAATACCTGGTTACACAAATTCCTTGTGTAATGACAAAAGAAAACTCCTCAGTGAAGCTCACATGAGTGTCCTTTTCATTTCAGAACATATTTGCTTTATTCACTCATGGGATATTACATCACTGGTTGAGTCAGCATTTATTTTCTGTCTCTAGTTGCCCCTTGAGAAGGTGGCAGTGAGCTGCCTTCTTGAACTGCTGCAGTCCATGTGCTGAAGATGCACATTATTGTTAAGGAGGGAATTCCAGGATTTTGACCCAGTGACACTGAAGGAACAGTAATACATTTCCAAGTCAGGATGGTGAGTGGATCGGAGGGGAACTTGAAGGAGCTGGTGTTTCCATGAGACTGCTATCCTTGTCCTTCTGGATGGAAGTGGTTGTGGGTTTGGAACGCGCTGTCTAGGATCTTTGGTGAATTTCTGCATCTTGTAGATAATACACACCGCTGCTACTGAGCGTCGGTGGTGGAGGGAGTGGGTGCTTGTGGATGTGGTGCCAATCAAGCGGGGGCTGCTTTGTCCTGGATGGTGTCAAGCTTCTTGAATATTTGTTGGAGCTGCACCCATCTAGGCAAGTGGAGGGTATTCCATCCCATCCAGACAAAGAGTCCTTATCCCAGTGCAGGGAGAGAGTTGAAATGGGAATGTGTGGATTCCCCATTGTTGTACAATCCAAAGGAATTGTCCGGGGAAATGGAATTTCCTCCTGGGTAATTCCTATCAGCTGGGAACCCTCCATAAGTCTCCATCAAAATCAAATCCTTCGGAGGGTTTTGATAACATTAACTATTCTTTTAATCTGAAAATGTTCTGCTATTAAATGCATGGTCTCGCTTCTCAGTTCCAATTCCACAGACCCCATACAATTGTCACAAGCAGCCAACTATGAGCTGTTTTGATGTGAGAAATTGTGGCAGGTGATTACGATACGTTATCAAAAACAAGTCACGAAACAAATGATTACAAATGGCTAAGTTCCCTGTTTTTCAGCATCAAACTTCTCAATTGCAATGGGCTGCCACTCCAATGCAGTCTAATCAGAAATTTCCTGTCAGGAGGAGCAGAGTCAAAATAAGATAACAAAGCTCCCTTGTGTTAAAGTGATACAATGCCACCCTCTGCTGGCCTCCCCAAGCCACTGGACATGTGGTGGTAGAGGGTGAAAACCCTCAAGGATTCAATCAGAGAGGGAGCAAGGAAGGGCAGCAGCTTACAGCACAATCCAAATTGACAGCACCATCAACACACACGCACACACGCATACAGACACACATGCACAGGCACACGTGCACAGACACACCCACATAGGCACACAAACACACACACACACAAGGCCAGTGTGGAACATGCTCATGTGGAGAAATACTGTGCTCGCTCTGCAATGCGGAAATGATTTGTCTTTGAGCAGTACTCCTGACATTATACACATTAAACAGAGAGTTTCCACTGCAGTTGTATCCAGGCACCTCCAAGTAAACCATTCCGTCAGGTGAATTTTACTGCACTTTCTGCAGCTTACGACGTTTTCTGATGCACTGTCTCAAATTTTAAGTGAGAAATTACTCAAAGGTGGGGGGGGATGAGACCAGCACTGGGCATGTTCACCTTCTTCTCCTCATATCTCAGGGACAACATCGCAAGGGATGGTGCAAAATGGATCTGTGTCTCCAAAGGCATTCTTTGAAGAATGAAACAAATGTACAATGTGAGAGATTTAGAGACTTTGATGTCTTGTCCAAAGCAAATCTGCTGCTCGTGCTGTGGCCCAGGGAGGCCTCTTTAAACTTGTATCACTTTAAGCCTTTGATCCACCACATTTTAATTAATTCATTCAAACTTCCATCAGGACAAAATCACTCCCATTTCAGGCAGAGACGGAGGTGCACACACATGCATGCACAAACACAGACACATAGAGGCACGCATTAACATGAGCATGAACATTATCATCTTAAACATAAGCGGGACAGACAGAGAGAGAGAGAGGAGTTTGACCCCATTTCAATACTTCACCTCAAAACAATTAAGACCCCGTTGCATAGAGCTACAGACACAAAGATTCACTCAAATATAGATACAGACTATTACCTTGACACAACCAGACACAGACACACAGAGATAGACATAAAGACGTACACAGATACACAAAACCAAAAAAAACTCACAGTAATATATATATACTAATATAGACAACCTCACACATATACTTACAGATATACATAGACTGTTACTCACAGATACAAAGACAGAAACATACAGATACAGAGGCAGAAACACTCATAGACAGAGAGATACACTAATGCATGCAGACACTGAAACACATACGTGTACCCACACACACAGACACCTATACACATACACACAGAGAGTCACACACATAGAGACACGCAGCGACACACACATATCACAAACACATACAGACACAGATATTGCTGAGGACAGCAAAAGTATTCGGATGATATGAAAAGACGAAACATCTCATCGAAAATGAAATAGAATTAGTTGAATTGATGTAGTACTGATGCTGAATTACACGCTGACCATTTTGCATCATCACTGAATGAAATTTATACCAAATTCCTCAACCAAATTTTGCATTCACTGCTTGTTAATGTCCCACAATCACATCCTTTGGGAATATGAGTTCAATCTTCCTGGAATGTCACTGGATTAAAATGTCATATTTATAAGTTACTTCTTTAATTCATAAACAATATTGAAGAGCGCTTTTTTTTTTGCCTGTTCCATTTTAAGACGTCCAACAGGAATACAAGGAAACACTCCAGGAACAAACTGAAATACTGAGCGTGAACACTATCCTATTTAAGACAAATTTAACGTTTTTCAATTGCTTGATTGATACACCGAGCTAATGGTTATTTCTACTGTTTGAGATCGGAAACTAGTAAAATATGAACTGCTGGCAAGAGGCAGAGACCATGAAGAGTGGAAACAGAAACATCTCTGAAGACATCTGGAAAAAGTCTGAATTGAGCAATTGTTTCAAAGCAATGTTTCCCAGCTTGGGAGCCTGCTCCAGAAAATGAAACATTTCTTTGGGCAGTCGAATTCTAGGATTTCAGCATCAGCGAACAGGGTCCCAGAGATTGGAAAAACAACAATGGTACAAATGATGGTCCATGATTGGGCTATTGGGAAAATATACCCACAATTTCAATTTGTTTTCAGTTTTAAATTCTGAGATTTGAATGTTATTAACTGTAGAATAAACCTGAAGAACCTGATACGGGAGCACTATTCTTACTTTGGGAATGCTCTAGGAGAGCTCTGGAAGAACCCAGAGGGTTTACTGTTTATATTTGATGGTTTGGGCAAATTTAAGGACAGTATCAGTTGTGAACATAATCAAACAAATGTAGAATCACAGTTTACATGCACTGATCCTGAATGCTGGTGTGAAGTGTCAGACATTGTGTACAGTTTAATCAGCACAAGCTGCTCCCAGGATGTTCAGCACGAGTGACCAGCCGTCCCAATGCATTCCATTTATTGGAAAAGGCTGAGATCAGTGTCTCGGCTGAAATCCTGGGATTTGTTGGTGATGAGCGGAAGGAATATTTCAACAGGTTTTTTTTGAGGATCAGACAGTGGCAGCAGCTGTTCTCAAACACGTGGAGGAGAACGAGATCCTGTACACCATGTGGTGCAACCCTTCGTACTGCTGGATCCTCAGTCTGTCACTGGGTCCCTTTTTCACAGAAAATGACAGGAAACAGCAGAAAGTTCCCAAGACCATCACCCTACTATATTTATAACATTCTGGAAAACCATGGCCAAGAGCCTGAAGACCCCTGTGACGTGTTACTGAAGCTTGGTGAGATGGCCTTCACAGGAGTCTCTGAGAAGCAGCTTGTGTTTGGAATTGGAGATCTGATCCAGTACAACCTGCAACCCTCCCAGCTCCTGTCTGGGTTCATGATGAAACTTTTGGAAAGAGATGATTCCGTCCACAGTGTGGTTTACGCATTCCCACATCTCACCATCCAAGAGTTTGTAGCTGCATTCGCACAATTCCTGATTCCAGATCCTGAGTACACCCAGAAATGCCTCAGTGAAGCCAATAGTGAGGAAGGTGAAATATTTCTCTGTTTCGTGACTGGCCTCTTCCCTCCACAGTCATCTCAACCTCTGTAGCAGTTTCTGGGTCTGTTTTCACATAAAACAACTTGCAAGTGATCAACTGGGTGAAGGAGAATTTTGTAGCACATGTTGGAAATGCAGACGGTAAAATTGGGAAAAGGAACCTCCTGAATTCATTGCATTACCTATTTGAATCTCAGAACTCCCCACTGGCCCATTCCACAGTTTGTTCAATAAAAACACTCACATTTGGAGATTCAAACCCACATAATACTCTGTGATTGAGTCCCATTGATTGTGCAGTTATGTCAGGAGGATGAGGGTAGAGTACACATATCCTTTTCACTTGATAAAAACCGAAAGAACTGCGGATGCTGTAAATCAGGAACAAAAACAGAAATTGCTGGACAAGCTCAGCAGGTCTGGCAGCATCTGTGAAGGATAAATCAGAGTTAACGTTTCAGGTCCGGTGACCCTTCCTAAGAGTCTTTCTGGTCACCAGACCTGAAACGTTAACTCTGATTTTTTTCTTCACAGATGCTGCCAGAGCTGCTGACCTTTTCCAGCAACTTCTGTCTTTGTTCCTTTTAATTTGAGTTGACTGTCAGCAGGAGAATGGAGAGCAATATATGGCACCAAACCTACAAAGGTGACATTGCACAGAGTTCCAAAATTACTAAACTATAAAGGGACCAGAGAAGGAGAGAAAATGAAAACAATAATTATCACTAGATTTAAAAAAATCGGGAAACTCATGCACCTGATGGGATGCATCTTAGGATATCAAAGGAAGTAATTACAGAGATGGCAAATGCACTGGTACTAATCTTCCAAGAATTCTTAGATGCTGGAAAACTCCTAGAGGATTGGAAAACAGCCAAAATGACACTTTTTTTTGAGTAAAGGGAAGGAGTCAAACAATAGGCCAGTTGGTTTAACATCTGTGATTGGGAAAAGGCTAACAGTCTATTATAAAAGATGTAATAACATAGCCTTTAGAAAAATATAATATGATCAAAAAGAGTTAGCCTAGCATCATGAAGGGGAAATCATGCCTGACAAATTTACTAGAATTCTTTGAGGAGGTAATAAGCAGGATAGAT